CTCAGGAAATCCAAAGCAAAGAATATAGAAAATTTATGTCTTAATTGTTTGGGAGACATTTTTGTTTTGTTTTTCATGAGATACATTTTAAAAGGCTACAGGGGTCCAGGGTTATGGTACACACCATTACTCCCAGCACTCAGGACTCAGGGGCAAGTGGATCTCTGTGAGTTCAATGCCACCCTCTTCTACATATTGAGATTTAGGTCATCCAGGGCTACATAAAGATCCTGCCTCAATAAAGAAAGAGAGGGAAGGAGAGAGGAAATGAGGGAGGAAGGAAATGAGGGAGGGAGGGAGAGAGGGAGGGAGGGAAGAAAAACAGAATAAAAAAGTATAATTAACCACAAAACACATAAAGATATTATATTCCATTTGACACACTATGCATTCCTGGCCTTGAACGCAAAACCCTTCAGACTCAGTCTCATAAGTACTAGATTGACAAGCTAGCCTACTATAGCCAACTACATTCTAATATTCTAGGATATTTACCAAGGACCATAAACTGCATATGAAAGTTGGTTACTAACAATACTAACAAATATGATTTGATTTAACTTTTCTTTGACAGAGACCAAAGCCATGGAGAATATCATAGAGTTGCATTTCATAAAAGGTAGAAAAGGAGAGAAAAATTCCACATCCTTAGATGAATATTAACAAACAGTATTAGTTGGGCCTGCTATTTTGTATTGTAGGTGGGGATGTCGCTAAGAATGTTTGTAAGAGTTTATTACCTATACTAGTTATATGATCCTTGCTGTTATTGGAAACTGAACCTTCCTGAAAAAAATACTATACTACTGTCAAGTCCTCATAAATCCAAACGACAAGTCCTAGTTACATCACTTTTAAGCACCTAGCATCACTTAGATATAATTTAGACATCAGTGAAACTAGGGCAGTAGATGATGTCAGGCATCCCTCCCAACTCCGGCATTCAATGACACAGTTTTCACTGGATGAGTCCTGAAAATGCCCAGGCACCTTATTCCGCATTAGCTATCTTATGCTGTCCTGGGAGGCAACCAACCCTAACCCAACGCAAACTGCATCCAAGTTCAAAAATTACCTAAGGCCTGAAAAACAACACAAGAAATGATTCTGCTGGGAGGACCAGAGTGTCTAACTTTTTCCTATTTTCAAGTAATGGGTCTTCAGTATCCATCAGTAAAGGATAATTTCCTAGCAAATTTCTCTCCAAAATTAGAAAATACATTTCTTTACATAATGAAAATCATCTTAATGTAAGTAATTTTCCTACATCACATATGTTAAAGGAAGGAATACTTTAAATAGCTATTACTGTCAAACACAAAGAAATAGGCTCATGATTTCACGTGATTAACATTTAAAAGGGGGGGATGGAAAATAAAGAAGCAATTTCCATCCTAGCTCTCATGTTAAAATAACACTGAAATCACACAGCACTACATGCTTTGGCACATCTTACTTGCAAAAGAGATAAAGCCCATCCTATTTGTGGCTCTAGAACAGTATACCAATCACACTCATGGAAGCATCTCAAGATGCCTTTTTTAGAAGCATACTTGTGACCTGGAAAGTGATTTTGACTGTGGCTTTGAACGGTCAAATGAAACTTAACATTTCTAGTCTGGATTCTTTCAAACTTTCTGGACATTCATTTGTAAATAACAAGAAACAATTCTTTGCTTTTCCTGGGGAGAGAAAGTAATTTTCTTCTAAGCTGTCTGGAACGTTTTAACAAATGAGACTACAAAGAACGGTGTCGTGTTCCAATGTTTCAACAGTTAAGTCATATTGGGAAGAGTAATGTAGTCACACAAGGTCATACACATCATCTCAACCAAAGGCTGCAGATACTGGGGTCAGAAGTAACTATCTTCTTACAGGGCATGCTGGTAAGTAAGGGGCTGAGCCTAGGGAAATTACTGATATGGAGAGCCATGAGTAATGAAAGAACCACATTCCAACAACCTGAGGTTGTACAAAGTAATTAAAATAAAATATCAGTTCTCAATGCAATGTCTAAGTAAGGGAAAAGGGAAAAGATGGAAGAAAGGGGAGATGTATCTTCTTCGGTTGTGGGGATATCCTATATGAAGTTGTCGGTCTTGGGCCAAGGCAGATACTGGCAAAAATGTCTTTGGGAGGTGGGACACCCCTCAGGGATTAGCCCCGGTAAGTCAGCCAGCACTAGCTCATAAGTTGGCTCAGCCTCCTGTGTGTGTGCAGTGTTCTCCGTTGGGCTGGACACAGGCTGCAAGGGCAGAGAGGAAACCTGTTGGAGTGAACAACACATCACCTTTCCCCTTATTTTCCACCTTCCTAACTTGGGAAACCACGGCCCTCCTCTGAAATGCCTCTGCCTGGTCTGAATGCACCAGATCTGAGACCTAGGCCACCCTCTTTCTCTTCTAATTTCTCTTTTAATTTTCCCTTTGCTGGGATAAAGCACTATGACGAAAGGAACCTAAGAAGGAAACGTTTATTTCAGCTCACAGTTCAAGGGAGGTCATGGTAGCAAGGCTTGAGGTGGTCAGCCACATTGCATCCATAGGAAAGAGAGATCAATGCATGTTTGCTCTGCTTACTCATTTTCTCCATCTTCTACAGTGGGGGATCTCTGCTCAGAGAATGGTCCCATGCCCAGTAAGTAATCTTCCCACTCAAATTAAACCAAATGAAGAGAATCCCTGGAGGCATGTCCAGAGGCCTGTCTCCCAGGTAAACCTAGATTTCATCAAGTTGAAAATTAACACGAACCACACCACCCCATGAGCATGAGCGCACACAAATACCTATTCTCCCTTTCTATCCTGAACTCAGCCTGCTCAAACAAGTAGTTCTTTTAGACAGAGGCATCCTGTGTTTATTCATAAAACTAAAGAGAATGTCCTGCCAGACCCCTCTTCCAACTGCTCTTCTTCTCCTCAGCTCCTATCCTACCCACACACCACAGCCATGCTTTGCCAGTCACTCCTTGGAGGGGCATCTCTGCCTGCCTAGGTGTCTACTGTCTAGAACAGTGTGAGAAATGAGTGACCCTCCACGATTGAAAAGATGGTCCACTAAATTCCTCCAAATGAATATTATGCCAGCATCACTCATATCCTTTCTCATTCTCGATGAAACAAACCAACAAAGCACGCCATTTAAACCTGTCATCCAAACTCTCAATGTACTTAGCTAGTTCAGTAAAGCTATGTTCAGCCTTGCAGGCAGACTTTAAATCTCACTCTGAGGAAAAGACTTTAGAGAATGGACCCTCTTAGTCTCTCCCAATCCCCATCAGGTTCCAACCCTATCTCCCACAAATTGTATACACGGAACAGTCACCAAAAATACATTTCCAAAAGTTGGACTTTATGGTGTACATATGTATAGTTGGAGGCAGTTCCGTAGAGCTCACTGGCTAGCCAGTCCAGCAAATTTGGTGAGTTCCAGGTTCAGTGAATAAGGGTGTGTGTGTGTGTGTATGTGTGTGTGTGTGTGTGTGTGTGTGTGTGTGTGTGTGTGTGTGTGCTGGAGGTACAAGATGGCTCAGTGGATAAAAGCACCAGCTGCCAAGTCTGATGACCTGAGTTTGATCCCTGGGACCCACATAGTGGGAGCAGATTGCAATCCTGAAAGCTGTCCTCTGACTTCCACATGAAAATGAACACACACACACACACAAAACCACTGAATAAATAAAAACAAGGGGTGGAGTGTTTGAGAAAGACACTTGGCATTGACTTTTGGCCTCTACATCTACAAATCACACAGTGCTTGCACACCTGTGAAACCTCTGCTCCCACATTTCCCACCATGTCCATTACTGCTTCATTGTAATAAAAATATGTCTACTTACCAAAGCATTCCCTCCCTTCCCCTAAGAAAAACTAAATCACTGAACTGCTCAGAGTTTTTAAAAAAGTATAGGAAAAGGAAAGAGAATAGAAGGGAACATGGCTCCCTGTCTCTTCCCCTCACCTCACCACAGCCATCTGAGTGGTGGATTTTATTGTTCCTCCCTCATAAAAGAACAGGTGGATTTTGTCAAGTGAAGCTGTTCTTTATTTTGTTAGTTCAAAACTGGAATAAGTCCATGAGAAGAGATGAATAATTCTAGGATGCGTTGCTTTTTCTCTCTCAAAATGTACAATCATGAGGCATCATCTCTTGGTTGCTTGGACATTGCAATTTGATTTGTTTCAGTCATACTCAAACAAGAAAGAAAATATAAAAGTAAAATCCATGTTCTGATCCTCACTTCCAAGTCAGATAGACGTCATCTGCAACTGGAGCTCCCAAAACGTGGAACTTAACTGGAAAGTGATTTGAACCTCTGAACTCCAAATACCATATGCAGAATCCTTTTTAAAAGGTGGTGTGTGTGTGTGTGTGTGTGTGTGTGTGTGTGTGTGTGTGTGTGGTGTTTATCCACATCTACTTGCCAGAGAACCCATCAAGAAGTATGAGAAAACCTTTCAGGATTCAGTTATTTCTTCCTACCATATGTGTCCCAGGAATCAAACTCAGGTCCTCAGGCTTGGCAACAAGTGCCTTCACCTATTGAGCCATCCCACCATGCCTGCCGGGCTCTTTACGGTCTCTCTTTTGGTAAATGAGGTTACCGTTGTATGAAATGTGTATAAGGAAAGACACTGAGGATCAAACAAACAGCCAACCCCATTCCCACCCACTTTTTACTGCCCCAGCCCTTCCAATTAAGATTGAAATTTGAAAGTGATAACCTGTTATCACATACAACTACCCCATCTACCCGGTGAACGACAGTAGCAGACAATGACTTCCCACTTATTTTTCCCCAAGCTTTTGAACATTCCCACTATATGGCTGGGGAAACTGAGGCCCCAAAAGGAAGGCCTTCTCGAGAGACTTCTTCGGGCAAGAGTAAAGCAGCATGAACCAAGCAAATTCTCCACCGATGCTTTGTTGCAAAAATCTTTCACGCCTATATGGAGATAAACCCCTAAAGACACTAGGGTCCCCAACTGAGACCCGCCTACCTGCTTCTTCCTTGCATTTGTCCTGGGAGACAGGCCTGCGGACAGCACAGATGTGAGAGGGGGGCAGCAGAGCTCGGGAAAGGGGTTGGGAATAGATGGCGTTTCCAGAACATCCAGATCCTTCTTTTTTCTCCTACACCAAGAGAACATAGGACGTCACTTACATAAAACAGAATAGAAAACATAATCGCTGTCAGGAAAGAGCTTTGTCAAGGCTAGTGTGCACTGCTGTGTGACAACACTAACTCTATACAAGTGTACAGAAAAGGGTTACAACGGACTATCTGTGGGTCAGAATGAAATATGCCAGTTAACATAAATAATTCTTTAGCAACCCCACACCTCCCCCCCCCCAAAAAAAACCTCACTAGACGCATTTCCTGCACTTAGGACTTTCCTGAACGCAATATAGGCTACATCATGATTTATGCAAACATTACCCCGAGGAGTGAGCCATTGCCTGGCGCCTATTAAATTGACAAAATCTGTAAGTTACATCCAATGAACTCATCCCCAGGAATTTTTACTCAGCACTGCTGGAAGTTATTATTTTATTAAATATAGATGTGGTTCATCTCACTTCAAATTTCATTCACAATGTGGCCCACACACAGTCTGTTAATTTTTCAAGTGCTTATAGACACTGAACATTAAAGCAGCCCTTCTGGGAAGCTAAGTCAATAGAACGTGTTAGCGTGAATGGACGCTAGCCCACCGGTGAATTACTTTAACTTGACTGAAGTCAACGCACTTTGCAATCCTGACAAAGAAGCAAGAGTGGTATTTGCATGTGTGACTGCAAAGGGCCAAGGATTTTTATATTGTTGTTGCCTTTTTCTTTCCCAAAGTATGACAACTCCGAAGGCACTTAGTGCTGATTTCTGTGGAGATGGGAAACCTCTGCTCTTTGCCGTGGAACATAAAGACTGCTCAAATGTCAATCCCTGCTTTGCATCTCCAGGGTCCTTGGAAGACTCTGCGTGGGAGGTGAACGCATTCACGCTCCGGTTTTTTTGAAGCCTATAGTGTAGTATGAAAAGGGCCACCGAGCAGCTGAGTGTGGTCAGTCTGGAGTGTGGCCTCCTGGTTCAAACTGAAGGGCAGAGGTGACACAGACGGCTCTCCACCAACCCGGGATGCTATTTATAACAGGGTACCTGGAGATCCTGAGACCCTGCTGACCCCGCGGGGGCCGGCTTCCTGGGAATTGTCTTCAGACACTTTCAAAACTTGCTCGGGCTTTGGGCACACCCTCACCCCTGGGCTGCCTCCTCACCCCAGAAGGCTGCGAACCCGGACTCTCCCCCCCCACCCCACCCCCAAAGCTGCCTACCTGTCTGTGGCACTGCAGCGGGTCTCATCGGAGGCGGGCGACAGCGCGTGCAGTCCAGGGACCCGTGTCGGGTCCTGGGCGTCGCCCCTGCCCTGGGCAACGCGGCACACCTGAACGGCCAGTGGCGAGTCCTGGGCGGCCGCCCGGCCCGCCGCGCTCTGCCCGCCTTGCAGGGACGTGGTCATGGTCGTCGGCCAGGGGTCTGGGGAGTCATCGACCGCGCGGCGACAGTGGGGAAAGGGCTGGGTGCGAGCAGTGCCGCGCGGGTGCAGGCAGCTAGCGCCCTGCAGGTGCGGTGACAGGGCCGCCTGCGCTCACGGCCGGGGCGGCTGGGACGCGGTGGGGCGGGGAGCGGGGGAGGGGCGGGGGCGGGGGCAGAGGAGGAGGGTGGGAACGTGGAGGGTGGGGACCGGGAGGAGCGGTGCGGGGGGGCGGGGAGGATGGCGCGCCAGCCTGGCGGGCCCTGCGCGTGGCCCGGGCACTCGGGGGCGCTGGTGTCACTTCCCAGCTGCGCGGGGACCTCGGCCTCTCGCTCCTCAGGCTCCAACGACGCCTTCCCAGGTGGGCAACTGAACACAAGGCTCAATCCGGGAGTCCCACAGGCCCAGTGTCACTCTGGGCTAGGAGGACCTATAGCCAAGCTGCATGGGTCAGGGCAGAACTGATCCTTCGACCCTTCCGTGCATGTAGGGCCACTGGAGATCATCTAAACTGTGGTTGGAGCCTCAGGGCAGAGCCCACACTGATGGGGGGGTGGGGGTGGGGGTCATAGGGTTAACTTTACCCCAGGCTCCCCCACCATCCCTTCGTTTCTCTCCACTAAAAGAGATGGAGTGGAGGGAGTGAGGAGGCGAAGGAACAGGGTTGCTGTCTTAGAAAGTCTCCTTTGAACTGGTGAGAATTCTCATTAAGCCTGAATGAACCTGAAGGTGTCTGGGATTATTGGAAGGTTTTTCTTTTTTGTGGGGGGGGCAGTTTTCTTAGCCTGCCTTGTTCTCCCAACAACTCATTTTATACTTAAGAATATTGGGGCCGCAAGCTATCCAATGCCTTACACTGCTTAGCTCTTAGTGACTGGTACAGTTAAGATTACAAGCCATAAATTTCCGTCTCAAAATCCCGGACAGTGACATAATAACCACACTGTGCTCATGTGAGATGCAGCGACCACACAGTGAAATCCAGACCTCCATTCCTGCTTTCCATGAAGTGTCCCACAGCCCTGGGCACTGTGGACGTTTTTTATGCTCTTTGTTCTTTGACCAAATTAGGTATCATCTGGCCTTGGCGCCTATGTCACTAAGTTAACCTCCATGACCTCTGCCCATGACAAAATAAACATTCCTCCTGAAAAAGTGAGCAGCCCTTGTTCCCCAGCTATGATGTCCTCCCCCATCAGGACATCAGCCCCAAACACTGGTGACAACCAGAGGTCACAAGCTTCATGGTCAAAGCCTGGGGACTCCATGAACTGAGAACACTTGAGTCAAAAAATTGAAAATATGCAACTTCTTCATTTTCCTAAAGTCAAAATTAAGAATTAAAAAAGGACATGAGTGGCGATGGCTTTGTGAAATCTGTGGTTTCTAAGAGGTCTTGTAAAAGGCAAGGGCCAACCCGGGACAAAACAGTGGCTTTTCTGGGAGAGAAAAAGGAATACTAATAGTCATAGCCAAAATTTTTGAACCATGTATGCCAAGCAGACTCCTTGCTCACATCTGTCTTAACTATAGTCTGGACTATATGTGTGGGTTTTCAGTGCTCTTGATGGAAAAGCACTGTTGTGTATTGAAGCTGTTCCAGCAAAATCAAGAGGTGTGTGTTTGTAGATACCTTCAATAAAAAAAAAAAAAACCTATCTGTTATCATTTCCCGAAACGGTGCAGCTGTTTCTACTCTCTAGAAATAATAGAGTGGAACATTGTCACAGCAGAGCTAATCAATGGCTAAAACTTGCTCCCTCCCAACACACACACACACACACACACACACACACACACACACACACACAGACTTTCTCTTTCTCTCTCTCTCAGTAAGAGATCACTTTACTTTTATCTTATAGAGGAAAGACTGTGGAGAAGCTGCATATATGTCTTAAATCACTGGAAATATCATCATCCAACAGTGAACTCCATCCAACTTCCCAGGATAACTTCTTGACGTGAAGGAAGAGCCTTTGCAGATAAAAATGAGAGTCTCAATGAATCTTCCCTCTCTCAGTATCCTTACACTCACTGAAAAACCAAGGAAGGATCCACTCTCAGACTCTGGTCCTGCAATCCCATGGATAGAAATTATAAGGCCTTTACAAGGCATTAAAAGGAGACAGAGTAAAAGGGATAACTCTCTAAGAATGAGATTCGACATAGTTTGTCTTGTATCAAATTAACTACCTACCGCTAACACCTTAAGTACTTGTACCAAGAATTATCCAACTACATTTGAAGAAAAATGAAGTAGTTTTCATTTCCAAGAGGTTTGCAAGAAATTATTCTAAACAAGGGACACTGCCAGAACCAAAGGGACTTTTCTACAAAATGGAAGAAAAAGGAGGGTTTGTTATAGTTTTGGGGTTTCTTCCCCCTTCTTGTAACTGACAAAGGTTTCTGGGACAATAGAGCAGGTATGTTGGTAACAGAGCAGGATGGCTGATCTGGACGGTTTTGGGCCCTTTGGACTTGAGCCTTGAACCTGTCAGCCTGCAGAGACAGCAGTCTGCCGCCACCCCCCCACACACACACAAAGATAAAAACAACAACTGGGGGCCTTTTCTTCCTTTCCATACTCCCTGTCCTGCCTCCTGCACCTCCTATCCTGAAGAACCCCAGCCAGCCTCCACCTTGAGGAAACTATGCCATCCTCCTCACTCTCCCATCCCCTTCTGCTCATCAATTCTTTAGGTAAGGAAAGACAATACACTCCCCCCGCAAAAAAAGATACATGCCAGTGCTGCAAAGACCTCATCCCTCTTCCTGGCAATTTTCACGGTAACTAGTCCTGAGTTATAACTATCTAAACATGGTCGATTAGGTTGTTTGGTTTTGACCTTTATACAAACAGAATCGTTCAGATGTTTTGCCCTTGATTCTATTCCCTAACATTACCCTTTTTTCCATGTTTTGCATGTAACAGATGATTTGTATTTCTTTGCTATGAAAATAGCACAATATGTGTGATGCAGATAGGCATCTAGGCTCTCTGTAGTTTTGATTATAATTAACGGTACTCCAGAGTTCATGTTGTAGCCTTGATGTACATACACACATTCTAGAAGGTGTACATGTAACAATGGTATTTTGAGGTCATAGTATGTGCAGGTCAGCTTCACTGTAACAGTGGTTCATCACCATCATATATTTTGTCTGCATATACATACAGCATGTGCATGCCTAGTGCCCTTGGAGGTCAGAAAAAGACATCAGCTCCCCTGCAACTGGAGTTGCAGATGGTTGTGAGCTGCCACGTGGGCATTGGGAACTGAACCTGTATCCTCTAAAGAACATCCCACTCTTGCCGACTGAGCTGCTCTCTGGCCCCAGTTATTCATCTCTTTAAAAACTTAGTTATGCCTCTCTTGGTATTTCAGTTTGCTAGCTCTTTGTTGATTACAAGATTTAAAAACATCTTCTTCCACTCTAGGCCTAACATCTTAGAGCAGTGGTTATCAACCTGGGACCATTTAATATAGTTCCTCTTATTATGGTCGACTTCCCTCCCCCATACCATAAAATTATTTTCGTTGCTACTTCATAACTGTAATTTTGCTACTGTTATGAATCATAATGTAAATATCTGATATGCAGGACATCTGATATATGACCCCTGTGAAGCAGTCATTTGACCCACAAACTCTTTAGATTGTCTAGGTAACAGTAGACAATCTTCCCAAAGTAAACAAGTTTTAAAATATAGCCAAATTGGTCTTTGTCATGATTATATTTTTAATACCTCCATAGAGAGTTCACCCATGAAGTTCAGAAATTTATTGTTTAGATTTGGAATTTAAATATGATAGTCATGTTGAATTTTTTGTTTTGTTTTTTTTTTTTGGTTTTTTGCTTTTGGTGTAAGGATGAGAAGATTTGGCAAGGTTTCTTTCTTTGTCCTTTTCTTTCTCTTTTTTTTCAGCATAAACAGCCACATCACTGAAAGAACTGTCTTCCCTTTCAAATTTAAATGTTTATCTATGCACAGATGTATTCTTCTGTTTGCTTAGTTATCAATATTTATGTCAATATCATATTGTCCTGATTGCTAAGTTTTGAAAACAAGTCTTAATTGTCATTAAAGGAAAACTTTTCATCCTGTTCTTTCTTAAAGATTGCCTTAATTTTAGATGAAATTAGCTTCTATAATTCTGTATAGACCATTTGGGATTTTCACTGGATTGCATTTGATACATATGTCAATTTAGTTAGAAATCGTATTTTAAAATGAACTCTATATCAATTAGGGTTTCTGCTGCTATAAAAATCACCATGACCAAAAGCAGCTTGGAGAGGAAAGAGTATATTTTCACCTTACAGCTTTCCTGAAAGAAGTCAAGACAGGAACTCAAGGCAGAAACTCAGCGGCACCAACAGAAATAGAGACCACAAATACTGTTTCCTGGCTTGCTTCCATGGCTTGCTCAGCCTGCTTCCTGGTATCACCCAGGATGACCTGCCCAGGAATGGGCACTGTCCACACCCAAATTAAGAAAATGCCCCCACAGACGTGCCTACAGGCAACCTGATGGAGGTGTTTTCTCAATCAAAGTTCTGCTTTCTAGATATCTCAAGCTTGAGTCAAGGTGACAAAAAACTAACCAGGATAAGCTCCAACATACATAATCATCTTGTCTTTCTATTGATTTATGTCTTTAATTTGTTGCAGTGATTTCCACGACTTCTGAGTAGATATGCACATCTATTGTCAAACATCCTTCTAGCAATTGTTGGTTTGTTTTGGTGGTACTAGGGTTTAACCCCAAGGCCTTACACATGTTAAGTAAGCATTTACCCACTGGCCTAAACCCCACATCCATTTTTTTTATTATTGATTAAACTTGTTCTTTGAGAATTTCACACATGTATAGTGGTGTGGTGCATTCTGTTCACTCACACCCCGGCCCTCTTTTGTCTCCCACCCAGCCCTGTTATTCCCCACCTCTTCCCCACAGGTGAAGGAGGGTAATAATGAGTTCACTAGACCCAAGATAAATGATAAACGGGTGTTCTATCGGGGAACAATTTACACAGAAAATAATATAGAACTGCCCCAACCTTTCTCTGCCCTTCCATTCCCATCTGCAACTCAAGAGACAGAGTGAGCAAGCCCTGCCTCAGGATTCCCTCTTT